AGGGGTGGGGTATGAGATTACATTAGTGTTGCTGTCGGATAACGTGTCAGGTGTTCTGTTAATTACTGCAGGTCTGGGAAGATCATTCCGCTAGCCAGGAACTGAATGGAAATGTTCTGGTAAGTGATTTTGTGCCTCTCTGTGGTGGTACCATGAGGCGTCGCTTACTTACAGATCTCAGACTTCTGGAGGGGATGTAGATTCGTAGTAGTGAGTGGAAGTAGCAGGGTGCTGAGCCTGTGGCTGTTCTATATGCAAACATCAATGTCTTGAACTTACTGCGAGCCTACAATCATTTGTAGAGGTTTGATTGCGCATGATAGAAGTTCAGCCAGAAGAGTATTGCAATAGTCCAGCCTAGAAATGACAAGGGCCTGGGCAAGAAGTTGTGCAGCATGCTCTGTTCGGAAGGGCCTGATCCTCCTGATGTTGTGCAATGCACACCTGCATGAATGAGCTGTCTTTGCAATATGGTCCTTGAAGATCAGCTGATCATCAAAGAATCATTTTTGATGAACCTAGCTGGATGGTGAAATCATGCTGTACAGTTAAAGTGGCAGGAAAGATGATAAGCTCAGTCTTTGCCAGGTTGAGCTGCAGGAGATGTTCCTTCATCCATGCCGAGATGTTCTCAAGGCAGCCTGAGATCGATGCAGCTACTGTTGGATCATCTGGTTGAAATGAACGATAGAGCTGTGTGTCATCAGCATAGCAATGGTAGGAGAAGCCATGTGCTTGTGTAATGTGTCCCAATGGTGTAGTGTATATGGGGAAGAGGAGGGGTCCAAGAACTGATCCCTGAGGAATCCCTGTGATCTGTTGTTGTTCCTTGGATACCTCTCCTCCCCAGGAAACCCTGAAAGACCTACCAGTGAGATAGGATTCAAACCAGTGGAGTGCAGATCCTGTGATAGACAGGAGAATCTGATGATTTACAGTGTCAAAAGTGGCAGATAGATCCAGCAGAATGAGAACTGATGATTTGCAATCAGCTTTCGCTATCTGCAGGACTATAGTAACCGACAGTAAAGCAATCTAAGTTGAATGACCACTTCTGAAACCTGATTGGTTAATCTTCAGTTGGTTATTCTATGAAAGAATGTATGTGTCTATAAAGGTCTGAACCAAATGGTCCATTCCATTAGAATAACAAAGGATCAGCATTCCTCAGTAACATCTTGTAAATTGCAGGATCTCCAGTGGGTCCTAACAGTATCTGTTGTCTGTAGCCCTTTTGTTTTCAGGTATAAAATTCTATCCCACAGACAGAAGTTTGGGAGAAGCTAAGATTCTTACAAGGGTTAAGATTGTTTGAAGGATGGCATGCTAACATTGCTACTGAAGAACTGCTACACCTTCTTCAATAAATTCATGGTCAAATTTTGGTCAAGCCTACTTCATTTTTTGTATTAGACAAAATCTAGTACATTGGCGAGCCAAGGTTAGAATGGGTAGTACAGTGGGGCAAAAAAGTATTTAGTCAGCCACCAATTGTGCAAGTTCTCCCACTTAAAAAGATGAGAGAGGCCTGTAATTTTCATCATAGGTATAATGTAGAGGAATCGGTGGCACACAGGTAGTAAGATGTAGGTTAAATGTAATAAAGAATCGATCAGAGATGTCTAGAGGTTTTACCAAAATGTTGTCTCTGATTCAATTGTGTTTGTGAGTGAGTGGAAGTCTGCAGTGTAAGGCTTCTACAGATGGGTTGGGTTAACAACATTACAATAGTGAAAGACGACTTCCCTTACTGATCACGTCTCTTGCGCGGCGGGATGTTGGACTCATGAAAAATAATCACACAGTTTGTATTCACCAAAACTGATTTACTGAAGTGAAAAAACACGGACGGAATAGGCATTAGTGCGAGCGCCGCTTGCTGTGAGGCGGGAGCGACGAGCCGGCAGAGGATTGCGCAACCCTTCCTCGAACAGTTATGTTCACGATTTCTGATTTACTTAACGTATACTGTGTGAGGGGAGCTGTGATTGGATCATTCTCAAGTGATCAGCACTGCTGCTGTTGTATCAGTCAGTGGTTAGATCAGCGTAGCAGTCAAAAAACGGGACAAGGGAAGTCACGTATGGGACAAATCAATTAGGCCCAAAATATGGGACGTCACGGCTAATACGGAACGGTTGGTAACCCTAACTGTACAGCATGTGAGTTAAAACGCATTTGAAATGGTTATGTCACTGACTTTTTACCTGGCACAGTTGACTTTCAAATTACCTTTCAAAAAGGAGAGGCTCTCTAAAACTGAAACAATGAGACTGGCTAATACTTCCAGATTATCATGTTTGCCCATTAAAACAACACATTTTTGTGTATTTCCACAATCACAGTTTTTTTTATGTGAAAAACATTATGGATTATTATATTCATAGAGCAAGAATCACGTCAAGAATCTCTGCACCATCGTGAGAGGAATCGACCGACAGGCTTAATTTAGACCAGTCGCTCATGTCAAGATCCTGTGGAAAGCCTTGCAACTAGAGCTGACATGAGACCTAGCTCTGGAAACACCTTTCAGGCGGGACAAGGGATTCTCCAGGCCAGTAAATGGCGATGTCAAAGAAACACTTCATGTGCTGCGTCCCAATTCGCATACTATCCATCTTAAATAGTATTCGAAAATAGAATTATGTCCCAAATCATAGAATGTTGAAAAGAGTATGACAAAGATTCCCGGATGGTCTACTTCTTGAGATTAAAATTCGAAGTGCAGATCGAAGCACATTCTAACAGCTAATATTGCCCACAACACATTGCGCGGCAGAAGAGGATTCGATTAGAACTACAAAACATGCATACAAATTGTTTAAAAACTACAAACATGGCAGATATGCGAGACCAACGGACAGGCAGAGAAAGGGGTTTGAGTGATAAATAATCAATGTCTAACCTGATTAAAAATATTTCTTTATGTATTTCATCTGCAGCAACATTGTGAACTTTTATAATGACACGTTTGGTCATTAACTTATCGGATCTTTTCCACAATTCCAGGTTTCTCAGCAGCGGAAGTCGTCATAGTTGGGTAAACTTGAAGAGCAGTGAATGGGAGAGCACCACAAAAACTATAGTGTTTTCATGACTTTCAATAAAAGGAAAAAAATTGAGAGAGACTGATAACGGCTGTCAGAATGTACCGTCCCTCCCATTGACGGCGCATTAGAAACACCCTCGCATTAGTGTTAACTGTTTATTTTTATTTTTGGTAATTTGATGCAAAGGTGATATAATACAAAGAATAGTGTTATAAATGTATACATTTAAAAAACAAATACAAATATGAAAAACTTTTGAGGATTTACGATGCTGATGAAAAGTGAAAAGTGAGGTCTTGTGAAAAGGGTCCATAGACCCGCGATTGGCAGATCGACGTGCCTCTTCATTTCTCTCCAATACGGTAGGAAACTGAATTAAACGAATTATGACAAGATTATTACAGTGCAGTTTAAACAGTGGCAGAATGCATGTAACTAAGCAACAGAGTGTCGCAGTTATGACGAAGTAGTATGTCCCAAAGCTTGCCTACTATTCTGCTACATACTCAAAAGTATGTACTTTTTCTTCACAAAAAGAGTAATGTTACATAGTTTTAGGGCGTATTTAAGTAGGCGAATTTGGATGCAGCAATGGTTTTCAGTCACGTGATTTTTTTTGTTGCGGATAAAAAAAAATACAAATATGAAAAACTTTTGAGGATTTACGATGCTGATGAAAAGTGAGGTCTTGTGAAAAGGGTCCATAGACCCGCGATTGGCAGATCGACGTGCCTCTTCATTTCTCTCCAATACGGTAGGAAACTGAATTAAACGAATTATGACAAGATTATTACAGTGCAGTTTAAACAGTGGCAGAATGCATGTAACTAAGCAACAGAGTGTCGCAGTTATGACGAAGTAGTATGTCCCAAAGCTTGCCTACTATTCTGCTACATACTCAAAAGTATGTACTTTTTCTTCACAAAAAGAGTAATGTTACATAGTTTTAGGGCGTATTTAAGTAGGCGAATTTGGATGCAGCAATGGTTTTCAGTCACGTGATTTTTTTTGTTGCGGCCGCCATCTTTAGGACCTAACTGAATGCAATTAAATATATATATATATTGTTTTAAAGCATATGCTGTTTGAAAGACTATTTACTTGTTATTATTATTTACCCATTTAATTCTAGTCCAGCATGATTGAAATTTAAAGTGTGTATCATCCTAACTAAAGAGCTATAGTTTACCCACAAATGAAAATAATTCACTCCCTTTATGTCGTCTACACGTGACAAACCTGCTGGTTTTGATTGACCAGCATTCTTCAAAGCATCTTCTTTTGAGTTCTGCAGAAAAACAAAAGTCGGGGGTTCCTTCACTAGTTATCACTGTGCAGAAAAATAACAGTGAATGCCACAATAAAATGCTTGACAAATACACATTCAATAGATCCATAGCTTCCTGCTGGCCAGTTTGTCTCTTCAGTTAAGATTCACCCCAATTGTTGCAGAAAACATTATATTACATATTATAATCATGTTCAGTGCAGACATGACTTTATTTTTTTTCTTTTCTTTTAATATCTTGTCACATTATGTCATTACGTCACTGTTTTTCTTCAATACGATGTCAGGATGCCTCCACCACCTTGGCTTTCTTAATCTCACATAAATCAGAAACTTGAATTTAAACACATTTAAAATGTGCTCATCTTGAAAGAGGTATATTCAAGTTTCTGAACTTGACGATTAAACAAGGCACTTCTATTCGTATACCCTTACGGGGCCACATTAAACGCGATGAAGCCTGCGGTGGCCGTCCTGTCCACCGGCTCTGTGTGTTTCCCGCTCATCAGGCCTGTTCTGGCCTTCCATCAGTCTAAGGTGTGAACAGTCAGTCTGATTATCAGCTGAACCTCAGACTGAGTTAAACCCACTGCGCTTTCTTCTGTGCGTTAATGTCTGGGTTTTTATCAAGAATGCTGGCAAGTTGGCAGTTCTGGGCTCGTGTCACATGTTCAGTGACCAGTACCTGGACAAGGAGGAGAATAGTAAAATAATGGTAAGATATTCAGTTGCTATTGCAAAATGTCACTGTTACTGCTGATGAGAGTGTAGAGTTGGAGGTTTGTTCAGAGTGTGATCAGTAGTTATTGATCACTATTGCTCAAACCACTAACCCTGAACTTTCGCCCATATCCTGCACTGTTGGTGCAGTGAACATGGGTGATTCCTGAAATAATATGTGTTGCTAAGCAAAGCATTGCTAAGAACTTAATTTGGACAACTTTAAAGGTGATTTTCTCAATATTTAGATTTTTTTGCACCCTCAGATTCCAGATTTTCAAATATTGTCCGATCCTAACAAACCATACATCAATGGAACACTTATTTATTCAGCTTTCAGATGATGCATAAATCTCAATTTCAAAAAATGGACTCTTATGACTGGTTTTGTGCTCCAGGGTCACATATGACTCAAGGCTGGAATATGACTTTCGTCCAGAATGATGGCAGATTACCCACAAAGAACACCTTAGAAACACAGCAAAGTGTTAAACACAATCTCTTAAGGGCCAATTACTAAATGTTGCGTTCCAAAGACTTTCATTTCTACGCATACAAATGTGGGAGACAGTAAAACACAAGCTCATGCGAATCTGCCCCGTGAATTGGTATCACGTGTGTGACTAATAGAAGATCAGCGTGGCCTTTTAGCTGAATGAATAGAACGCAAGCTTTAAATCTGCAGGACTGTAGCGTTGCAGTAAAATGAAGTAGATTGCACATTTTTCATTTTGGATGTTTTGTGTGTAGAATTATGTTTTTTAAAAAGACGCCAGAGAGCCTGATGTCATATTAACACTGAAGTTCTGTGTGCTCAAAGTCTAGTGTGACGCGGCTTTAGGACTGTGGTTGTTTTAACACTCACGTTTCCTTCATAAAGTGTAAAAACTGAGTTATTGTTTCAGAATGTAATGTACTCCGATATAATATGATGTGTACGTTCCAGGATGTTGTTTTCCAGTGGCTTACAACTGATAGCATTCCTCTCAACCAGATAGACGCAGAGGACCCAGAGGTGAGCGCTTAGTTACCTGCTTAACCTAGTTCAGACTTCATATCTTTTTATTTTTTTATTATCATTAAAAATTTCGGGCTCGGTTGGTTTTTTATGTTTTGAAAGAAATTCCTTATGGTCACCAAGGCTGCATTTATTTGTACAATAAAAACTGTAATCTTGTGAAATATTATTAAAATTTCAAACAGCTGTTTTCTATGTGAATATATTGTAGAATGAAATTCATTTCTGTGATGCGCAGCTGTATTTTCAGCATCATTCCTCCAGTCTTCAGTGTCACATGATCTTCAGAAATCAGTATAATATTCTGATTTGCTACTCAAGAAACATTTCTGATTATTATCAGTGTTGAAAACAGTTGTGCTGCTCAATATTTTTGTG